GCTACAGAGTATTTCTTTCATTTTAGCGTAAAATCCTTACATGATCCTGTGGAATCTAAAGTCACTTGTACCCTTTAAACAGTTTTTTTTTTAATTTTATATGTATGAGTGTATTGCCTACGTGTGTGAGTGCACCTGTGTTGCACAATGCCCACAGAGACCAGAAGGAGGCATTAAATACCCTGGAACTGGAGCTATGGATGGTTGTCAGCTGCCATGTGGGTGCTGGGATTTGAACCCGGGTCCTCTGCAAGAGCAGCCAGTGCCCTTAATCACTGAGCTGCCGCTGTAGCTACCACTTTAAACAGTTTTTGAGCTTGTTCTTTAACACATTCTTTCTTTCACTCCTTAAAATGACACTGACCACCCCCTGCCTCCCCAGAACTCTGTGCTAACACCCAACAGGCCTGAAAATCACCTAAGTGTCGTTTGTGCAGGTCTTATGACCACTAGGCCACTCCAACTCTCACCAGTCCACACAGAGCAATTAGAACACATGACACGCAGCGATAGAGGTGGAGAGGTAGTGAATTCTCCTGGTGATGCGGCCATGGTGTTTGTTCTGGGTCATGTATGAATGGGCTCATCTTTCTCAATTCTAAACACACTGTGTCAGAAACAGTGTGTTTGTGCTTCTGTGGTGACCGAGCCACCTTGCTTTAGTGGGCGCTCAAAAAGAAAGCATTTGGGTGAATGAATGGGAAGGGGAGAGGCTCATTAACTCCACTTTTTTGAACTCTTGGGTTCTGTACCCAAAAAAAAAATGGCAGCCCATCTACCTTGGTGTAAATTAAATTACTGCTGGGAAGTGTGTACCCTCGGCTTCTAGGCTCCTAGCACTGCCCCCCCCCACCCCACCAATCCTCCAAACTACAGTTTAGGGAACAAACATATTTATTAGCCTGGCTCACAGAGCATCTGATGGTGATGAGGGTATTTCCAAAGGTGTGGGCAACTTTGGGCTTTTTTCCCGACATTTCGGTTGTGGCTTCCAAGATGGCAAAGTGTCTCCCTGGCTCCCCCATCCTCTCTCCTTAGTCCCTCCACCTCATGCAGTTAAGACTAACTGATTGGGTGGGAGGGGTGACTGTCTCCCTCTGCCCCTCCTCTCGGACGGAGAGTCTTACAGTCCAATTAGTTGTAGGTGATTGGAGCAAGCGGTGAGAAGCTGGAGAGGACGGCTCTGTTCCTTGTTTGCCAGTCCGCCTCATCCAACACTTGGATGATGACAGTTCCAGAGGTGTTGGCCCGCTTAGTTGCTGACATCAAAGGGGTCCCCTGTGCTACCTAAGAGCCCATCACCCAAACTTGTCTTAGTCAACTCAGACCCAGCGGTCCCAGGTCCTCAGTGTGGAGCCCACCTGCTGGCAGGAGGTCCAGGAACAAATGAGGTACTCAAAGACCCCTTTCATCTGACTCCTGAATAAAACCATGATGCAGCAGATGTAGGAAGGATGCAGGAGTAGTCCCCAGCAAACATATGGAGTACAGTCCTAGAGACCAGCTCCTCAAAACCCTGTGTGGCTGTGAAATCTTCCTGAACCCCAAGGGTGCACCTACAGGAACCTTCTGGGAAAGGAAGACGGCCAGCCTTGAGGGCTCAGCACAGCGTACTGGTATGTACCTAATACCAAGTAAAGAGAGCCAGGTGTGTGGCGCCCACACTGTCTGCCACACTGTGTGCCATGGGCCTCACCCCTGGCAGGCATCTCTCAAGGGTCTCTGGAGGACCTGTGTCTGACCAGGGTGCTAAGCTCAGCTTCCTCCATTGGAACACAGTGATTCTGGGTGTAGGACACGCACAGCAGCCCTCATCACACAAGTCCCAGCTGCTGGAAAGACGAGCGATCAACGGCACTTACCTGAACCGCTTCAAGATGCTATAGCCAGAGAAACAAAGGGAGAAGCTGATGGAAACAATTACTATGTCACAAACTGTCATGTTGATTGCACCAAGCAAACCTGTAGAGTTCAGAGCAAAGAGAGGTCCGATTGAAGAGAGCAAGTCTGAAAAGTCTTAAGACTTTGGGGGGTGGAGAGATGGCTCAGTGGTTAAGAACACTCACTGTTCTTCCAAAGGACCTAAGTTCAGTTTCCAGCACCCACACGGAAGCCATCTGTAACCCCAGTTATAGGGGATCCGACACCCTCTTCTGGCTTCTGTGAGCATTGCACATGTGTGGCACACTTACATACTTGCAGGCAATACATTCACACACATTAAAATAAAAATAAGAGAAAAAAAGTTTAAAGATTTTACATCTTCATCTGGCCTTTGGGTAAGCTGAGGGATGCAGTCCTGGGGTTGACAGCTAGCCTCCGTGCCATGACGAGCCAGCACAGGATGGACTCACATGGGGAAGCAATGGGAAAGGAAGCGGGGAAAGCGTGGAACACCCAGGCAGGAGGGGCCTGTGCAATAGGAAGCTGTAGTGCGTAGCTCTCTACCCGGCATGCAGCCTGAAGATTGACAGCCTTCAGGAAAGAACCGGGCAGCCTCATGCCCCTCTGGGCCACTTGCCTGTTGGTTTCCATTTCAATCTGGTCTCCAGTTTTCCAGGGGTTCTGCTTAGTGGTGATTGCTCCAAGCCCCAGGGCCACGTGGGAACAGCCCGGGGGCCACACAGCCTGGGGAGTGGCTTCCTGAGTAGGCGCTTGTCTCTATGGGTTCACTGTGTCCAGATCTGATAATAGCTAATTCCACCAAATATTAGAGGGGCTCACATTTAATTAAGGAGTGGCCGTGTGTGCTGCAAACGGGAGGTCCCCACTGCCCTGACGTCAAAGGCAGAGTCCTTCGGGAATGTGCCGATCTTTTCTTATTTCTCCTCTGAGCTCCTGCCTTCTTTGAAGGCAATTAGGGGAACAAATAAACTGGCTTAACTCAACTCCCCTGTGAGACCTCCAGTTCTCTGCCGATAAACCCGGCTGTGTGGGCAATCATTAAATGAGAAATCCAATATTTAACTAAATTTAATAGTCTGTTGCTTTGGTGCTTTTCTGTGGAGGGTGGGATTTTAATAGAGAGGAGGGAGCTATTCAAAGGCAGCCCGTGCAGTCGGAGAGTGATTAGAACTTGCTATGCCCCACATGAGGCCAGAACTCCCAGGGCTGAGAGTGGGTGATGGGTGTCTGGTGGCAGGGCTGTATCCCACCCCACCCCCGAATTAGTCCTCAGGAAGCTTAGCTCGGTAAGCAGCAAAATACCCTTGCAATCTGAGTTGAGACCTCTCCTCCCAGATTGCAGTGATGCTATAACAGCTGTTGAGTCATCTATAAGATCTGACCAAAGTTCAGCCAACTGTGAGAAAGTCTAGCCAGATCACTCTGAAACTGGCACCTGCCCACCTTCCCAGCTGAAGTTCTAGGGTCCCAAGTGCAGAAGCCAACAGAGAGCAATTTGCCGGTCTTCGTTGTGTCTCTGCTGATCGTACTGATACCCCTGAGCTCCTGGGGTTGCAGCTGACCCCCATTCACACACTCCGGGTTGTGTCCCTACTCCACACCTGGAAAGATCACACAGGCAGGGGGAGTGGGACCCGCCGGTCTTCGTTGTGTCTCTGCTGATCGTACTGATATCCCTGAGCTCCTGGGGTTGCAGCTGACCCCCATTCACACACTCCGGGTCGTGTCCCTACTCCACACCTGGAAAGATCACACAGGCAGGGGGAGTGGGACCTCCAGTGAACTGAGGCTTCCGGTCGTTAAGGTCTATGCCCTGGCCTCTTACTCTACGCTTAGGTCTGGGGCTCTCCGTGAACCATCATTGAATACTACCCTGCATATGCCATTAGTCTTTCAAGCGCTGGAAGCTCTTCGGTCAATTTACTGAACATCTATCTGCTTTTGGTTGTGTTGTTGATGTTACATGTGGAACAGGGAATGATTGACTTTTGGCCCTGGGTTTCCTCATGAGGACTGAACTCTGGGGCCTCCCAGAGCCTTGTGCTTCCTGAGACCCCTGAGAGGGCCTCTCAGTGCTGTTTGAGGCTGCCTTGAACACTAGCAAAAGGCCATGTGGGGAACCGGGAGGAAGACTCAGGTAGAAACCCAGGGATACTATCTAGGTAAAAGTCAAAGCTGAATGGCCACATGGGACTGGCAACTTGTCATATTCTGTTGCTTATCAGCTCATCACAAGCACAGAACTCTCCCTCCCTCCCTCATCCCTCCACAAACATGTCATCCCTGCTTCCATGGATGGTGAGAATCTTGAGACCAAAGTGCTATGAGTCACTCAAAGATATACCCACTCATCACAGCAGCCCTGTTGTCATAAGCCATGAGCTAACCTCGATGCTTTTGAGAAACATACCTGTGCAACAGCTTTGCCTGGGGGTGGGGATCATGAGAGAGGCTAACGTCCATCAAAGAACCATGACATAGCGCAGACCAGTCTCAGCTCTCTGAGGAACTGGGTGAGTCAAAGGCAGAGTCCCTTGAAGCTGGCGCTTCCTTTTACAGTAAGCTACAAGCCACCCCTGCATGTAGCCTTATGAAAAGAGAAGCAAGTTTTGTGGGTTCTATTACATTATAAGATGGTGAAGCTGGGTGGAGTAACCTTTTCAGCAGGTGAAGGAAGTGGGTTTCCTCTCTTCCGGCTGAAGACCTTGGGGTGGGGCACTTGTGTGTTGTTAGAACTTGAAGAATAAGGAGTCACCCTGGGGGGCCTAATCTGAATGAAAAGGGCCAGGCCCTCAAGTTGCAAAGTGTTGCTTGTGGGATTTTACTACCTATGATGACAGTCATCAAGTAAAGTTCTCCAAAAACCAGAGAACCTTGTGCTTAAAGTAAGAAATCTGTGTGCTAAGCAGTAAAGGCAAAAGTCCAGAGTCTGTGCTGCTTCTCCTGTCTTTCCCTGGTTACTGTGGCCATTAGTCCCCACAGATGTATGGTAGTGGTTTTCCTGAACCCAACAGTTTTAGGATGGGTCACACCAAAACCTGCACATGCACACAAGAAATACCAGAGAGAGGAGACCGAGGAAGGGGCAGGCGGATGGAGCACAGGCATCTCTGATCTGCCTACTTTCCTGACGCGAGGCAAGGCTTCCGGCCACATAATGACTGAGCCATTTGATATTTTGGTTTCTTGTTCCAGACAGTGGTATGGCTCTGTTCAGGGAAGCCCACATGGGAGGCACGTAAGAACCCCCAGCTCACCCAGATCCCAGAAGCCAATGTGTCTTTATTTGCTCCCTTGTAGAACTCTTTGACCTGGAAACAAATGAGCACATACAGAAGGCTATCCGTGACCGGCAGATGCCAAAAATCGAATACCGGAAAATCGAGATCGATGATTACAGTAAGTGCTACTGTTCTGCCCTGTGCAAGCTCAGCATCTGCTCTGACCCAGCCAGGTCTCTGCTGTCAGCTGTGAATGTGGTAGGCTCCAGCCCTCCCCAGGTACCTCCCTGCCCAGCTGCCATCCTACCCACAGCTCACCATACCTACCTCCTTGATGCGCTGGTGACAGAAAAACACAGGCAGAACTTATGGCTTCTCTCGAGAGAGAAGGACTGAACCTCTCCTCTGGTCATCTGACCCTGGGACATGCCTTCCTTCTGGAATATGCCCTCTGGTCCATGCTTTCCTCTCTGGTCAGCCTCCTACCTGCAGAGGTGGGCTGATGAGGAGCATCCTTGGAAATGGAGAAATGCATCCTGAGGAGCTGTGTGTTGTCACAGCCTGAGGAGCATCTGTCACTGTTGTCTTCCAAAACCTTTTCTTTTTAATTCTTTTATTTTATGTGTATTAGTATTATGTCTGCATGGATGTAAGTGCACCCATGTCATGCAATGTCCGAGGAGAACAGAAGGGAGTCTCGGATCCCCTGGAACTGGAGTTACAGACAGTTGTTAGCTGCCATGCGGGTGCTGGGACTCAAACCTGGGTCTTCTGCAAGAGCAGCCAGTGCTCTTAAGCATTAAGCCATCTCTCCTTCTCTTTTCTCTTGTACTGTGAACAATGGGACTGTTTCATGAGCTCTGGCTCTGTGCTAGGTTATGAGACCCAGGGTGTTGGCAGCTGTGGGGTAGTTCCCATCGCCTCAGCTCTCATCTCCACACAGGTGGCTCCCAGCTCAACCTGGCAGCCTCTGGAGTCCTAGCCGCCCTCTAGCCCTCACTCTAGAGAGCCAGTGTCCACTGCCCACAATGATCCTTGCTCCCTTCCCACAAGACAGCCTCTTCCAGGCTCCCCTGTGCCTGAACATAGCACTGGGTTGTGACTTAGCCCCCCACCCCCAAACTCAAAGCTGTCCTGAGTCCTCCATTCAAATCCCTGCCAGCATCAGCAGGCCTCCACTCCTGGGAGAACTCTGCCTGGTCCTCAGTCACAGCTCTGGCTGGAGAAAAGAGGTTGGCCAGGTTCAGGGAAGAGGCCAAACAGCGCTGAAGGGGCAGATGGAACTGCATTGATCAGGATCTCTGCAGTTGGCTTTGGGTTGACTCAGAAAAACTGGATGTCTCATAGGTATCTTCCCAAGTCACCTCTGGAAGGCCTGAATCTTCTGCCCTGTCCCCATTCAATAGGACAGTCGCTTGTCACCAGGGCTGGTAGCAGTGGACTGCAGCTTAGAAAAGGCACAGTCACCTGTAGGCCATGCACTCCTAGGAGCAGGAAGTAAAACTGGAACCACACAGTGCACGCAGTGGGACCACACAGTGCTCACAGTGGGACCACAAATGGCACTGGTGCTCAGAGAGGATGTGAGAATGGGCTAGGTTGTGTGAGGAGGTTCCCTGCATCTGATGGTGAGTCTTGATCAGGGTCTCTGCAGTGGGCTTTGGATTGACACAGAAGTGGTCAAAGCAGTCAGGTATGGTGGCGCACACCTTTAATCTCAACACTGGAGAGGCAGAGGCAGGCAGATCTCTATGGGTTCGAGGCCAGCCTGATCTACATAGCAAGTTCCAGGTCAGCCATGACTTCATAATGAGACACTGTCTCAAAAAAAAAAGAGGAGGAAGAAGGAAGGAGGGAGGAGGGAGGAGGAGGAAGAGGAGGAGGAGGAGGAGGAGGAGGAAGAGAAGAAGAAATAATAGTGGCTTAGTGGTTAGGAACAGTTACTGCTCTTACAGAGGACCTGGGTTTGGTTTACAGCACCCACATGGCAGCTAATAATTACAATTATCCATATGCTGATTCCTAGGAATCCTCTTCTGCCCCCCCCGGGGGGGCATTGCACACACATGATACACTTGCATACATGCAGGCCTAAAGCACTGATACACATAAAATACATTTTTAAAAAATTTAAAGGAAATGATCAGATCATCATCCAGAGGTTGAGCTTGGGCAAGAAGGAACATCCTTCAGGGAGGTCACCCTGAACCCCCCTCCTGTAGGACCCCAAATGTGACAGAACCAACACATCACTAACCACCCCTGAGGTCCACCCCAGACCATTCACTAAAATACCTGGTCCCTCGTAGAGTCAAGTGAGGTCACATTGCTGCTTGTCTAAATCACCAGAAACGGATGCACTATCTTGCTGTCCTGCATGGGCTCCATCCACCTCTGGAAGTCAGGGGTGTCTGGAAACAGTCTGGGCTGCAAGTCCAGGTCCCTTTAATGCACTGCCGCCCAGAGGCTCCCTCTAGTGGCAGCTCTGAGGAAGAGAACGAGGAACGAAATGAGGAGGGAATCCAATCTCAGACTGTCTGATTTGGCCAAGAACCCGTTTGCCCTGGACATCGCCTGCACCAGGGCCCTGTGCCCTGGTACAAGGTGTCCATGTACCAGGCTTCTGTGGCTGAGTGCCAACCTGCCTCCCCCCCAAGAACTCCTCCCCCTGGCAGCTCCTAACGCCCCGTCCCCTGCTGATTCTCCAAATCCTGAAGACCCACAACATTGTCTTCCCTCTGGAAAGGCAGGAAGGGCCTGTAGGAGCAACGCCAGCACCCAGCCCTGCTCCCAGAGCTCCCCTGCACCATGGCAGGAGAGGGTACCAGAAGTGGAAGTGATGTGACTCCCCTGCCCCACCTGTGTACATGTTTATTTTTTATTTCTGCTGTCAGATAAGACTTCTGGGAACATAGCTGATGCTCAGGAAGTGCTGAGTGCTCCCCTCAGATAGGCCACAGCTTCCCAAGGTCCTCCCTCAGGCATAGACAGGCACACCTTGTTTCATGACTGTTTCTGTGATACTATGCAATGCCTGCCTCTGTCAGGCCCTGGCCCACAGATCCAATTTGCAAGGCATTAGCAGTCAGGCTGAATCAGTAATGAGAGGTTGCTTGGAAGCAGACTGCCAGGCCTGGGGTGTGTCTCTAGTTATTGCACTGGAAAAACCACTAATTCCAATTTAATTGCTAGGCCTTTGGTAATCTGGGCTGTAGTTGCCCTCAATAAACAAATTCTTACTGGCGCAGAAGGGCTTGTCCTGGGGGCAGTGGAGGGAAGAGGACAAAGAACTGGTGGGATGATTTCCTGAAGGTTGGTTCTTCCAAAAACCCAGTGACCTTCAGCGCAGAGGAAACAGAAGGGACATACCAACTCCTTCCCTAGAGTCCTAGCCTTGTGACTCCAGCAGACAGTCAGACATGCCCGGCATAAACCTGCAAACACAGATTGACAAAGCTGGCTGGCGTGATGGGAAGGTGGTGAGTGGATTTTCACACACACACATACACACACATACACACACAGTTCAGCCCCCACCCCTCAGTCTTCTCTCCCAGAATCCACTGCTCACAAATAGCCTTGCCCAGTACGTGGCTGACCCAGCCTGAATGCCCTCATGGTCTTCCCCATGTAGAATTCTGCCACCAGCAGGTACCAAGAGCCCACAGCAAGCCAGAGTCACCGAGCTGAAGATCTGGCAGCTCCCACCCTGGGCTTCCCAGCCCAAGGCAGCCATGGGCATGCAGGCACAGAACCAGTGTTAACGCACGGCCCACCCCTCCTGCTCCAGCCTCCCCTGACCCAGCTGTGTTCCCTCTCTCCCCAGATTTGCCCATGCAGATCCTGAAGCCGGCCACCTTCACCGACACAGCCCACTACCCTTTGTTGCTGGTGGTGTAAGTATGGCTGTCTCTGTCTTTCTTGGGGTGCCTCCTTAGGAATCAAGGGCTCAAGGAAAGGAAACATTGAGTCCTTAAGGAGAGAGAAGTGGGTAAATGATCCTATTTATTCCGCTTTGAAGACAAATTGGCTTGTCAGCAAAGGGTGGGTTCTTTCTATAATTCCTAGAGACCTCCCAGAGGTAGGAGGGCAGTGGGGCTTTGTGCTCTACCCCGCCTACCCCTTAACTTCTTAGCTCAGCAGCCAGGGAGAAAGCTCGGGAGGACAGGGCAGGGCAGGGCCTTACGGAAGGGGCTGGCCTGGGCAGGCAGGAAACAGCCCAAGAACTTGATGCACCTTAGATGACTGGGCCAGCTGGCTTCCCACCGCAGGAGCATCCCCTCAGGGACTGTCTATCATGGACTGCAAAGAGTCATCTCAGCTATCCCTTCTGCTCCTTAGCCGATTCTCTGGTTAGAGCTGGAGAACCTTTCCTGGGCTCTACGAACACCTGAAAGGTATCCAGTCTGGCGAAGGCCTCTGCTGCTGTATACCTGCCCTGGGCATGCACTCAATGAATTCTCCACATGCCAGCAGCCTGGAGGGAAGCCATTCTGGATGTTCTCCTGCATGTAGGAGGAAAGATGCCACTGAGAGGGCTTTACACGTCCTGTTCCACTGACCACCTAGCCCTCCCAGACTCGGGAAACAGGAGGAGCCACAAAGCTCTCTCACTTGTCAGAAGAAGGTTCTCCCCACTGTCTGGAAAGGGCTGGACTAGAACTTAGAGGTGATGGGGCTATTGCCTACCTGAGCAAATGCCAAGCTCACTGATGGAATTCGGTGGCCCCCGGAGCCCTTGCGCTCTCTGAGGCTGTCTCTACACTACAAGGGCTTTATTACAAAGATGCCTTGGCTTGGCTTCAACTCCTGCATCTTCTCCCACTCCGTGATTGATTAGCCACTCCCCTTGAGATATGGACTGGGTTAACACTTTCCTGACAACAACCTGCACCCACTCATATATATACAAAAACGCAGAAACACACCACCCTCTAACACTTCAAACATACCACACACGTGTACACACATATGCCGTGCCTATGTTAGGAGGTGGCCCTAGTGCCTTAGGCAGTACGTAGATGCTACCTGGATCACCCTTCCTAGGCAGCAGAACCTGGAGCAATGGAGTAGGCACAGACTTGGCATTTGCCAGAGTGGCAGCAGCCATCAGATGGCATGCTGAGGCCCTGTCTTTTCCAGGGACGGCACCCCAGGGAGCCAGAGTGTGGCGGAGAGGTTTGAGGTGACCTGGGAAACAGTGCTAGTGAGCAGCCATGGAGCAGTAGTAGTCAAGTGTGACGGCCGAGGCAGCGGCTTCCAGGGGACCAAGCTCCTGCACGAAGTGCGGAGGCGGCTGGGCTTCCTGGAGGAGAAAGACCAGATGGAGGCCGTGAGGTGAGCAGCCCCGTTGGCTGGGCAGGATGTGGGCAGGGCGGAGGGGGGATGCTCCCAAGGGGCACAGCAGATGGTGCTGCCTCCAGCATCTCACAACGCTCAGTCACGAAGCTCTGCGCAACTCTACACACGTCTCCACGCAAACCACCAGCAGTATTCTGAGGGCTTCTGCACCGACCTTCACACAGCTTGGTGGCCTGTTGGGTTGAACTGAGCAAAACACAGGGTCAGAGGCCCAGACTGAGCTGGGTCTGTGTGTTAATCATTTTCATAGCTGAACCAAGTCCCTGAGAGGCAGCGCTTAAAGGAGAGGTTGATTTGACTCACAGCTTGAGCAGGTGTGGTCCATCATAGGCTGTTACAGTGTTCATGGCTGTGGGTGCCTCTGGCTGGGCTCCCTCGTGTCAGTGGATCAGGAAGCAGAGAGAGAGCAGGACATATGGACAGGCTATAAAACCTGAAGGCCAGCCTCCCAGTGACTCATGTCCTCCAGTGAGGCTCTACCTCCTAAACGGTCTATAGCTTCTCAAAACAGTGTCACCAGCTAGAGACACAGGAACCTACGCAGAACATTTCACATTCGAACCGTTTCGGTCTGACTGGCTTCTCTGTGCTAAGATCACTGGCTTGGCCAGTGTCCACACTCAACTGTGCCATGGAAGTAAAAAGGCCAGAAGGGGAATGTGTCGGGGGGTGGGGCTAGGCCAAGGGTCACCTCACTATTTGGTACATATGCAGGGCGCTAGTCAGAAATGCCCTGTGACTGAGCAGTGACCTGATTCGAACTGTTGTCCACCAACTTGCTATCACCAAGTCAGCGAGACCCACAAGTGCTACTGAGAACAAAGGAACGCAGAGTCAGGCAGGTGCTCCGAGAGCATGCTTCATTAGCGCAACGCAGCTCTCCAAGAGCTGCAGTGAGAACAGTTCCACAAACCCTCCAGAATGGCAGCTTGGAGAAAAGCAAGCAAGAGGTGATGGGTCTCGGGATGATGTCAGTATCAGTACGTCATCCTGATACAGGAGTCCCGGGCCCAGTCTAGGCATGAGAGGAAAGCCCAGGGCCAGCCGAGCACGTGTGCGCTGGAGGTAGAAGCCGGCTGACACCTCCAAGCTGCTTCACAGACATCACTGATGCCCACAGTGATTTGCAGCAGTGATAACAAGGGACCCTCTCCTTCAAGGAGTGAATAGCTCCTTTGTCACTGTGATCAACATTACCTTAAGGGATGAAAGGTAAATTTCCATTGTGGCAGCAGAGCCACGCCGGAGCTCATGGCTGGGAACCTGTGCCGCTGCTCTTCCCGTGCCGGGTTCAGAAACAGACTAAATCCAAAGCTAGGCCCTAACCTTCAAAAGCCCCCCTCTAGTGCTCTACCTCCACCACCTCAGACCCACCTCCTAAAGGCTCCACAGTCTCCCACAACAGTCCCAGTACCCAAGGAACACGTGCCCTAAACGTGAGCTCAGGGGGTGTTTCAGAGTTAAGCCATAAAGGAATTTGAACCTGCTGAAGATAAGTCGGTGTCTTCAAACCCCTTGTGGTCGAGACAGAAAGCATAGAGGGGAAATCTCAAGGACCCGCACCACACACACACTCTGTCCTATGTGCTTTATGGATAAGGAGCCGTGTGCACGCTGAAGAACACAGGAACAAAAGACCCAGGGAGCTCCAAGACCAACGACGTCATCAAAGACATAGGCTCTCTCCGTCTGTCTCGGTCTGTATTCGGCTGAGCAGGGTGGCCTCACTCCAAGCTCACGTCCCTCAGTTCAGGATAGCCATGGCTGTGACAGCAGCTGGCTCCACATTCTTTCAACACCACAACCAGGTTCAGGTAAACAAAAGACACTTCCAGAAACCTCCGAAAAGGAACGATCTCCCCAAAGCCCCCAAAAGCAGCCTGATAACCTTTCTTTCATCTCCCTGAACTTACTAGTGAATCCAGAACCCACAACTCCCCACCAGTAAGAGCCAAGGGATGGTTGCAAAGTGTGACACCGGCAGACAGCAGACCGGCTTTCCTGGGAAACGCTAGGGGACCCTGAGACCAGATGGCCCTGCCTCTTGACTGTGGGGACGCCTCCTGGGTGGAGGAAAGTCGGGGGCAAGTGAACCCTGGTTTCTGTCTGGAAGGAGGAGGAGCAGGTGGCTGCCAAGACAGGCTTCGCAGGGAAAGCCAGGCAGTGCCCAAGCAGGCTGGGTTGGCAGGGAACTCACAGCTGGCTGGGGGGGGGGGGCTGCCCACCCTTGTATCTGACCCTCTTCCCTAACCTTCCCCCTCTTTCTTCTGCTCTTGCTTCGTCCTACCTGGTCTAACTCCTCCCAGTGAGGCTCACAGTCTCCCCGTCATGGGGAAGCCAGGAGAAAGGCCAGGGGTCTTCAGGCTCCCCTGTGGGTGCCTAGTCCCTAGAGCCACTCCCTCAGAATGGGGACAAATAGCTGAGTGCTGTTTCCACTCACATCATTCTCTAAAAACAAGGAGTCGGCACACCATCTGTCCAAAAGCAACAGAAAACCTGTTCTAGAAAAAGTCAGAGATATTGACTGTCAACCCTGTGGGCTCACGGAATATGAGCCCAGGAATGGTTCCAAGGCTTGCCACCATCAGACAGCAGGGTGGCTTTCCTCGGGAACTGCAGGATGGGCTGAGGCAAGTCCACCATGGTAACTCCCAAACTAGCTCCAGACTTCCTCTGCCTGCTCATTTTCTCCTGAAGCCCATCCAACAGGTCACGTTGCCCATCAGTAGCTAACAGGCGTAAAGTCCTCTGCATAAGGGGAGAAGAAGTCACACAACCAGCACTTGGAGCACCAAGCGAAGTTTGCAGCTCCCGAACCGGAGGGCAGGGCCAAGGAAGAGGGCCTCACCGCAAGGCTCCCGATGCTCTGGGTCAGGCGGCCGTCTTAGTTACTGTGATGAAACACCATGACCAAGGCAACTTACAGAAGGAAGAGTTTATTTGGGCTTATGGTTCCAGAGGGAGAAGAGTCCATCATGGTGGGGAGGCGTGGCAATAGGCAGGTGTGGTGGCTGGAGCAGGAAGCAGACGAACGAAGAACAGGAAGCGGGACAGGGCTGTGAACTCTCAAAGCCCACCCCCAGGGACATACTCCCTCCAGCAAGGCCACACCACACCTCCTAAACCTTCACAAGTAGTGGCACCAACTGAAGACCAAGTGTTCAAATGAGCCTGTGGGAGACATTTAACGTTCAAACCACCACAGCAGTCTCATGCACCTGCAGGTTCCCCAGAAGCGTTGTCAGGATCCTGTACATTTTGAGTGTGAGTGCAGTGTGTACTAAGTAGAAGAAATAAGCAGCTGCATTTAGAATCCCAAGGTCTGTTTTTATTTGCAGAGGGGTTTCATGCACTCTGTGGCTGGCCGTTGTGGTTGTGGTCCACAGGGTGCAAAGCCGACCCACGTGGCACTCACACCCCTCTCCCCTCTGTCCACAGGACTATGCTGAAGGAACAGTACATTGACAAGACACGGGTGGCCGTGTTCGGGAAGGTGAGTCATGCTGTCTTCTACTGGGGCCCCTAGAACTTGGAACGGTTCACCACCACCACCAGCCTCCCACTGAGCCACTATATCACCTGTGGCCGGGGCAGTGAGGAGAGAAATGATCAAGAGATCAGTGGTGGGTGGCAGTGCTGGGGCCTCTCCTGCCCTGAGTTCACATCTGTGGTCTTTTTAAACAGAACCTGGAAGGAGAGGAAAACAGGCCTAGTTTGGAGATACCTCACCACCACCAGCAGCCTCCCACTGAGCCACTATATCACCTGTGGCTGGGGCAGTGAGGAGAGAGAGAAATGATCAAGAGATCAGTGGTGGGTGGCAGTGGTGGGGCCTCTCCTGCCCTGAGTTCACATCTGTGGCCTTTTTAAACAGAACCTGGAAGGAGAGGAAAACAGGCCTAGTTTGGAGATACCTTACCTCAGCAGCTATGCTAACCCCCGTGTTTGCTCAGACTGAGGGAAGGCTGGGAGACTCTCCACCCCATGGCTTCCATGGCAGGGCTGGTCCAGCTGGGCTGCGGTGAAGGCCCAGGGCCTGGAGTTAAGTCGAGGGTCTCCTCCTCATACGGCCTAGACTGGAGGCCCCTTACTCTCAGAAACTTATGAATGGGCACAGATCCCTCTCCCCTGAGGGAGGAGCCCAGCAGCTGAATACAGGCCCAACCTCAGACTCTAGCACTGGGGAGCAGTGTACAGTGGTAGCCTGGGAGTCCCCAAAACACCAGACCAGAGCCAACCGGTATTGAACTCTTACTAAATTGCTGTGACCAGATACCTGCCAAGGAAGGATTTTGGTTCATGGCTTCGTGGGAGGGAAAACACGGTAGCCAAGATTCCAGTCTGTGGCAGTGGGAAATCAGGAAGCCGGGAATCCCTCCATCCCTTCTTGGTTAAACAGGGTTTTCATGACTCAATTTCCACCAGCCATGCCCATGCTCAAAAAGTTCCACAGGCTCCCAACACAGCACCACTAGTGGGGGCCAAACATTGGAACACATGCGCCTGCCGAGTCATTTCACACACAAACTGTGGTATGAACCCACCCGTGTACCTGCAGAAGCCAGGCCACTAGGGGAGGGACCAGTGCCTGGCTCAGTCTTCATTGGTCTTTGCTCTCTCTAAACCTGCAAGGATGCCCATCTGGAAGGTGAGCTGTCTCCCTTTGCCTCAGGTAGCCCCACCCACCGGGTCATCTGGCGGAACATTGCCTTTATCAGCACGTTTCCAGCTCAATGTGCCAAGCATGCCGTGTGGGGATGGACCTGTGGACTGTCCAGGGCCACTCACCCACCTACCACTGGAGTCCAAGGACCAGGAGCTTTTCCCGTTCTGCCTGAGTGGACTGGCACCCTTCTCTCAGTAGTACAAGTCTCCTCTCCCACAATGTGGGTCCTGGGAATCGAACTCAGCTCATCAGGCTTGGCAGCAAAATGCCTTTATCCACTGAGCCATCTTGCTGGCCCCAGAAGTCATCAGTTCTTTCAGCAAATTGGTATTCTGTGACCTTTCCTGTTTCTTCAGAAGCCACACACGTGTCTGGGTGCAACCTGGCTCTGTGTGTTCCTTCTTCCCACAGTGGGGGACCTCAAGGCCACAGAACCTTGTACAGCAGCATCTGCTCCACACACATGGGGTGGGGGCCACCATCTGTGAACTGTACCCTACAAACGCTGGCCTGAGTCAACAGGTACCACTGCTTTTCATTTAAAATGGAAGGCCCACAAGAAAAAACAAAGTTTAAAATGCAGAATGTCTAGCCGGGCGTGGTGGCACAGCCTTTAATCCCAGCACTCGGGAGGCAGAGGCAGGTGGATGTCTGTGAGTTCAAGGCCAGCTTGGTCTCCATAGTGAATCCAGGACAGCTGGGGCTACAGGGAGACCCTGTCTCAAAAAGAGCAAAAGCACTTGCAGAGGACCCAGGCTTGGTTCCCAGTGCCCACATGGCAGCTGACAACCATCTGTAACTTGAGCGCCAGGGAATCAAACACTCTCCTTTGGCCTCTACAGGTACCAGACATGCATGTGGTACACATACATGCAGGCAAAACACCCATACACATAAATCTAAAAAAGGAAAATAATTGTGTTGTCAGTAAAAGACAAGATTTTCCAGGCCTACAAAGGAGCACCACACAGCGCCTCACATACATGAGAAAAGAGGCCACACTGTCAGATCAAGGAGGGCTCAGACGATGGGGACTTCTCCAGGCTGTGATCACTACACCCCATGGTGTCATGCTTGGCACACCAGGGTTAATGCACACACGTGTTCACATTAACACACACATACGTGTATTCACATGCACAAACACACATGCTCACGTTTACATGAGCACACAGGCTCATTCACTCACACACTCATTCACATATGAGCATACAGACTCACTCATGCATAAAATCACATATGCACACAGGCTCACATGCATGCATTCACTCGAGTACACACACATTCATATGCACACAATCGTATTTTCAGACAATGCTCACACATGCCCCCATGATCACATACATGTGCTCACATGCTCTTGCATTCATGGTCGTCTATACTCATACAGACACACCCTTGCTCAGGCTCACCCCTGCCTTCCACAGCATCCACTGTCCCGTGGTTCTCTGGGGCTAGCTGTGTTCCACCGAGAGTCACATCTGTCCTGTTCCCCTGACTTTCCTCAGTGGACTATGATACTTACGAGCCTTGGAAGGTGCCACACGGACAACAGGATAAAACTTTTTCTAAGAGACCCTTGCTGAGGGGGCTCCTTGTGCCCACCCAGATCAGGTCACATAGGTTGCTAAGAGCTCCCCCTGCCTACAGGACGCACATGACGGCTTTATGCAGCCCTGCTGTACACTCTGTCTCAGTCAGATCACACAGAAGGACAGGCTTTGCCTGTAGATGGGGTCGTGGAAGGGAGGCTGCGCAGATACACTGAGCCAGAGCTCTGAACGCCATCTTCCTCTACCACCATCCTCAGAGGATGTATTTCCACATCAGCAGCACACTTAGCTGTTGATGGACATTGGAGACTGTGTCACATGAGGGGGAGCTGGGAAGGTGCTTAGTGCCTGGCCTCCCTGGGTCCGAGGCTGGTTTAGCACTGAGCCAGGGACACTGACCCTCCTCATCGCCTTTTCTTCCTTCTTGCACCTCTCAGGATTATGGGGGATACCTGAGCACCTACATCCTCCCAGCCAAGGGAGAAAATCAAGGTCAGACTTTCACCTGCGGCTCTGCGCTCTCTCCAATAACAGACTTCAAGCTCTACGGTAAAGGCCTTGATGAGACCTGGTTGAGCCCTTCAGCACAGCCCCAGCTCCCCTCCAGCACCTCAGCTCCTAACAACAGGGGCTCCAGTGCAAACCAACCTCCTAGGGCAGGCAGGGGAGCCTCCAAGTCATTGTCTGTCAGTCCACTGAGACGTACTGAATACTCTCCAGTATCCAAGGCCAGCATGAGAGTTAGAGGCCAGCTGGCCATAGTGGGTTCAGAAAAGCCTGCACACACACAAGGGGAAGTGGCAGGCAATGACACCCAGGCTGCCTTCCCTCAGCTGCCACAGAGTGTGCCGGGCAGATGCTGAGGGAAGAGGGGATGTATGACTGAGCACAGAAAGTGCTGGAGATGATGACTTTGCTGCTCTTAGGTGAGAATCTACTGGAAGCCTCAAGAGCTTAGTTGGCGCTGCCTGCCTCCTCCCAGGCCCACAGGCAGCACTTCTTTGTGCAGAGTTCAGCTTCTGTGATCAGGGACATGGGTTGTCAGGATGATTTGCTGTGGGTGACCAGACAGACATGAGACCCACCTATGGTTGGAGGCAGCCTTGTACCCAGACAGGCATAGCCCCCTGGCTACACTGGTTTGGGGTCCCAGCTCCCTGAGTTTTCCTTTCTTGGGCTATCCATCCCCTTTTTCTGATGGTTGTATGGCTTGGTGACACTCAACCATTTTTTAATTATACAGAGAAGCCACAGGTGGCTCCAGGGCACTGAGCTATGAGCGCAAGGGGACCCCACATTGAGTAGTGCCCAGAATCCTGGGGCCTCCTTGTCTGAGATCCAGCAGAGCACTGTGTCCCATCCCCATACTGTGGACCCCACACAGCAGTCCAGGACTGGGATGGGGGAGAGGAGCCCACCTACCTCTAAGGATCCCAACAGAGGCGGTGACACAAATTTCACTGGCCTTTCCAGAAGAGCTGTAGTTTCAGTGCATGAGTGACTTCCCTGTAGAAACACATGTAGCATGTTTGGGATTGTTCAAATTCAGTAAGACTTAGTGTCTTAATCATGCTATTCCAAATCTACCTGATTCAAAGACATACAAATTGGACTGCACCCTCCCTCACACACTTTTTGGTCGGTCCTGGGTATAGAACCCAGGGCTTCACGCATGCTAAGGAGGCACCCTCCCGTTGAACTACCCAGCCCACCTGTGTCTTAGGAAAGCCTTTCCATTGTCTCTTCTGCTCAAAAAGGATTCCCCACACAGACACCCACAAGCCCTCCATCCCTGGCAGAGTTGTGTTATGGGGCCCTCCTGTGTCACCTGACACACTTCAGGTCATGCTCAAAACCAAGACTTTGAGCAAGAGGTTACCCTGTTTACTGGGGTTTTAACTTGGCTGGGTTTTGCAGGATCCCAGTTTCACTGCACTGGGACAGCACATTTGGGCATCACCCACCCCCCAGTCTGACACCCATACCAGGAGACTTCAGATGACTTTTTAAAACCAATCAACAGGGGGAAGCCCCCCCTTCCATCTGGGATAGGCCAGAACTGACCACCTCCCCCTGCCTCTGTCCAGCTTCTGCGTTTTCTGAGCGGTACCTTGGCCTCCATGGACTCGACAGCAGGGCATATGAGGTATGTCTGGCTGAACTGGCACTGGGCAAAGCAGGGACCCAGGTACAAAGGAGCAGCTGCTTCCCGTCCTCATGCCCACATTCCCACCCGCCCACCGACCCCACCCACTCCCCTTCCGAGAGCCTGGTCCCCTCCACCATCCAGACCTCCAGCTCATCCTCCCACCACACTGAACGTAGTTAGCGAGGCCTCTCTCATGGCATGGATGAGCAGGAACTGCTGGTCTCCTCATGATTGATGGGTGAGGGAGCCGATCTGTCCCATGGAGCCACTGGCTGTAGGAGGCTCCTGCTCCCTGTATGAGGCCAGTTCCCCTTTCAGAGGGTGACTAGGGACTGGGAACAGGAGCTACTCCTGTGTTTACTACACCCCCGCTGTCACGTCGTCTCAGGATATCACACCAGCCATGTGCAGGTGAAACGCCAGAGTGCTGTGGTCAGGCAGGACTCTGCTGTCCAACTTGAGACTTCTGTCTGAACAAACACTGAAGCTGTGTTGGTGATCGGATGGCACGCTAAGGCCCCCTGTGCTTGAAAACGTGCCTTCACTTCCGCTCCTCCCCTAGCCCCCTCTCCCCTAAAGGAACTGATGTGAGGAAGGGCAGCTGAGGCTTGCTGCCTTTCCCCTGATATAATAGCCCAGCTCTCTCCGAGCCTGGCATTTCCCTCCACAGCTAACCCTGTCTCCTTACCCCACACATACAGATGACCAAGGTGGCACACCGAGTATCGGCGCTAGAAGACCAGCAGTTCCTGCTCATCCATGCCACTGCTGACGGTGAGCACCTGAACCTCCACCCGTTCTCCGGTGGCTGAAGCATCCCTGGACTGTGACATGGGTCTCCACAAACATTTGCCTCTGTTTTTCTTCTACAGAAAAAATCCATTTCCAGCACACAGCAGAGCTCATCACACAGCTAATTAAGGGGAAGGCCAATTACAGCTTGCAGGTACAGAATGCATGTCCGCTGGGTTTGGGGCTTAGAGTGAGATGGCCCTTGCCATGAGGACAGGACTGAGTGGGGTCTGGGTGGCCTTGTGCAGTGCACACAGCTGTGCTCAGGCTGTCCATGAAAGTGGACACATCAAACACCTCTCTCTCCTTCAGGTGGGAGCAGTTCATCTCTGTACTCAAGCCATGGCTCAACCCCTTGGGGGCCACACCACCCCAGTCCACCCCACCCTGCCCTATATTCCTCCTCTGGATGGTAAACAAGGCCAAGCCAGCAGTGGGCTGTGCGAGGGGGACAGTGCCCCCGCATGGGCAGGTCCCGAGCTGCTCTCCCTCTGGACAGTGCCCTTGTAACAAGTACAGTCTGGATATCCCGGCTCCTCTACCATCTGTGGCTGTGATAGGGCATGGACCCAAGCCCACAGCCAGTCCTCAGTGGTGTCCACTACTGACTCTTCCCAGCAACACACAAGGACATTTCTGGAAACGTCTTCTGTTTCCTTCTCCCCTCTGGTTCCTTTGGTAAAAGTAGTTCCGACCTCATTGCTTCTTTTAATGCAAAGGTAACAAGTACCCATCTCCCTGATAGAGTGCTTACCTGGCTCTGACCATCTCTCTCTGTCTCCAGGGTTCGGTGGCCTGTGGGTGGCCATGTGGGGCAGGGAAGAGGGTTGGTGAATGGGGTCAAGGGCTTACTTATATTACATTTCTTTCTGAAAAAAAAAAAAAAGTTCAGAGCAGGAGGGCACAGTGGCACATGCCTTTAATCCCAGTACTCAGGAGGCTGAGGCAGGCAGATCTCTAGAGTTCGAGGCCAGCCTGGTCTACATAGTGAGTTCCAGGCCAGCTGGGGCTTCAGGGAGACCCTGTCTCAAAAAGACCAAAAAAGAAAGAAAAATGTTCAAAGCATAATAAATTCAGGATTTTTCATGGGTCTGCTGCATACACTTTGCACACGTGATGGTACCCTGGTCTATTAGGAGGCAGTGCCATGTCACCCTGCCTTACCCCAGGTTGCCAACAGCGTGCATGCAGCTCTGGCTGCACCCATGCCTGTGAAAGGGGCATGCTGTCAGAGAGCATCCTCACAGACACTCAAAGAGTTTGTACCATGGCCAGTTCCAGGGAAGGGGACAGAGGAGAAGGGGAGCCATCCTGCTCTCCTGCCTTCTGTGCAGCTGCTGCATACTGCAGACACGTTAGGCTGATGACATCATTAATAAAGATGAATGCCACCCTCAAAGGCGCAAGACTAACATCGGATGCAGAATAGGGGCCCGACGGATCATAGAAAGAGCTGGTTTCAGAGTCAGACTTGGCTTCAAACTCTCTTGAGTGTGGGATCAGCACAGAGGATGGATGGTGTCATTGCACTGCCCGTAGACCAATGAGCTGCATTGCTGGCACGGCTGCAGGCCAGCTCTGCCCTTTCCCTCAGGCTTCATTCTGGTTCTGTCAGGTACTATGACTTAATTCTCACCAAAAAAAAAAAAAAGTATGAACCTCTGTTCAGTTCTCCTTTCCACATGATACCTGGACTCAAGACTCAGCCAGGTGAGACCCTGAGTCAGTGTGCGGAAGTCCACAGGGACAGGAGGCAGGCATGGGGCTCCCTCCACCCTCAGAGGGTTACTCAGGTAGCCGGAGATCTCTCCCCTTTTTTGAGTTCTTGGTCTGTGACATCTGCAGCCCCTGAGCATGTTTCCAGGTTATAAAATAAGACAAATCTGGACAGCAGAGTTTGCTAAATGAGGTGTTTTCTAACTTACGAAGTCTTAGTAGGGTCCACTGCCCTTGGTAAGGGAGAGACGCCAAGGAGAAGAGATACTAGTGGAGAGACTGGCCATCTTTCATGACCAGTTAGGGCTGCAGGAACAAGGGTCTTTTCAGCACGCAGGGGAAAAGGTGCTGGTACCGGAGCTAGAGAGCTCCTCCTGCCAGCTTCAGTAACTCCTCAGAAGACCTAGCTTCCCTACATGCCACGTTTTTCTTGATTTATTATGTGTATGAGTGTATTGCCTGCATGTATGTAAATGCACCCATGTCATGCAATGCCCATGGAGGTCAGAAGAGGGCATCGGATCCCCTGGAACTGGAGTTAAGGATTGGTTGTTAGCTACCACGTGGGTGCTGGGATTCAGACCTGGGTCCTCTGCAAGAGCAGCCAGTGCCGTTAACCGCTGAGCATCGCTCCAGCCCCCTTACACACCACATCTTTTGTGCATGAAGTTGTCCCTTTGGGAGGATGAACTGTGGGTAAGGAACCTCTCTCTGCCTCCCTCACAGATATACCCAGATGAAGGCCACTACTTCCACAGCCATGCTCTCAAACAGCACCTGTACCGGTCCCTCATCAACTTCTTTGTGGAATGCTTCAGGATCCAGGACAAGCTACCAACAGCCACAAGAAAAGAGGAGGAGGAAGACTAACCACACCTCAGCCCTAAGCACACACGTGGCTATTTCTACAATATGCAACTGAGGACTCTTTCCCCCACTCCTCCCTCCAAGGGCAGGTGGAGGCGGAGGTTTCGACGTTCCGTAGCATGTGTCTCGATTCCGAAGGCCACTTTGTGTGGGCAACAAGCTCCTTGGTGGAGACGCTGCACCACACAGCCTGGAACAGCCCTGCCTCAGCAGCATCGCCTCCTCCTGGCCCCCAGTGACCGGCGCATCCCATGTCCCTCCCCCAAGGGGACAACGTGGAGGACAGATGCAGTGAGGGTACACTTTGAGCCCAAGAAAACTGGCCCTTGAGTTCAAGCTTCCTCTCTGTAGCACCGAGACCCCCACCATCTGTGTTAGCGCACTCTGTCCGCATCCTCAGCTGTGTGTCCTGTCTGACGGCTGTGCCGTGGTAGCCAGAAAGCAGGTGGTCTCAGCAGTACCTGTTCATACATGGCTGGCTCCTCTCTACCGTTAGGAGAGCCCACACTGTTCCTATCTGCACCCAGAAAGCAAATATTCTATGTACAAAGTCTGGCTAAAGCTCCACTGAGGGTTAACCTTGTAGAATTACTTTGTATTTTTCTATGGTTTTAACTGGACACCCCACTGTGTCTGTCCATGGGGCTGTTTCCCTGTGCTTTTCCTTCATCTCTTGCTTGCTTATTTGGACACAGAGATCAGGAACGACCACTGCCTCTGCCGTCGGACTTGGTAGAGGCATTTGAGACACCACAGGAGGGACAGCACCTAGCAGCCCTCACTAAAAACCCCTACATGAAACCTTCCTCCCACTGAGCAGCCTAGGACTTTAGATCCATTGCCCATAACATGTATCCTTAAAACTACTTTTCCTACTTGATCAACTGTCAAGTCTTTTCAGGTGACATTTGGTTAAAAATCGTAAGACAGAGTGTTGGTTCTACCCCTAGGTCTACTGGGTCAGCCAGGTCACAGGTGACCCAGTGGGCGTGGGAACATACTTACCGTGTCATTGCCAGCTCCGGGGATGGTTCCTCCCTCCTGCTCTAGCAGTGCAGTTGACATGACCCTCCATCAGTCTTGCAGAACAAGCTGACCAGATATGCAGCCTCTGTTGCCCATGTATATTTCATTTCGTTGTATATAAAGAGAGGAATGTGTGGCATTTGTGCAGTCTGCGCCCCCTCCACAGCACTCACCTTGCGTTGAGCTTGCATGCAGACACCTCTCTGGCTGATCCGGCCTGGCCAGGAGTGCTAGTTTGAAATATATCAATTATTGTCATTTCCTTTCAGGCTTGTTGACGACCTGAATGTCAGTACTGATCTCTCCAGCTCCCAGTCCTGCATGGGGTGTCTTGATACCCTGTCTGCAGAGGAGATGTGTCCATGTCGATTTTTTTGGTGTTTGGGGGCTTTGCTTCTGTCCACATGCGCTTGGAACATCAGTCCCTGTTAGGTCTGTTAGAAGAGTCCGTCCCAGGATGTTTGACGGGTGAGGTCTCGTGCTGACAAACAGGACCAATCTGAATGCTACACAGATGGACTTTTGCTACTTCAACAGGCTTGGCTGACAGCAAAGCCAAGGAGGTCTGAAAGGGGGAGCCAGCTCTGGCTGTAAGCACGGGTCAGAGGGACGACGGGACGTGGCAGGCAGCGTTTGTCATCCACGGAATAAAGCGTCATTTTACCACTTGGGTTTCTCTCCTGATCCTCCTCTACCATCTCGCCTTAGAAAGTGGGTGCAGGCATTGCTGTTACACTGAGGAAAATGTCTATCCCCCAGTAACCATTAGCTACTAAGAGCTGCTGGGGCGGGGCCTCAGATCCACAATGGGCCCAGTCTTGTGCATGCCTTGTGCAGGTGGCCACAGCTGCTGTGAGCTGGTGTGCAACAGCTGTGCCACACCTAGAAGAAAGCATGCCACAGCACTCCTCCAGCTTTTACAGTCTTTCTGTCCCTACTAAATGATGTCAGTGGGCCTTGGTGCAAGTGTATGGATGTCCCTTTTAGAGATGAGCATTCAGCAGATCTCATTCAACACTTTGGCCAGTTCCAGTCTCTGTGACGACAACTGCCCACTGCAAAAGAGGCTTCTTTGACCAAGACTGAGCATCACTGGCATGTGGGAGTGAACGTAAATATTTAGGAGACAGTCTGGTGTATATAGCATGCCCATTTCACCAAACAGCAGTAGTGGTTTTCCATGACAGCCTATGACCCTCCCCATCCATGAGCTTTCAACCAGGTTTACAGTACCAGGCATCAATTTCTCTCCTGTGGCACGGGTCTCAAATCCACTCCGAAGAGTTAGATGTCCCCATAACAGTCACGCCACTTACTGAAGCAGTGGGCACATTTTCCAACAGGCTTTTCTCCTCCAACAGCCTGCGTGGCACCTTCTGGCACTGTGAAGGTTAACCGTCAGGGAAAAGGCTTCCAGCTCAGTTTCAACATGATTCCTCAGCAAACATGTTCAAAGCACTCGCTGCAAAACAGGTGCATGAAGAGCCAGTCCCGTGTGCAGCACATACCATGGGGCTGAGCACAGTGTCCCACACCTGAAATTTCAGACCTGGAAAGGTGAAGCTGGGGGATCAGGAGTTCAGGGTTGGTCTACAGAACAAGTTCAAGGCTAGCCTGGAGGAAGAGAGGCTAGGAAGAAGACGAGGAGGAGGGTGAGGATGAAGACAAAGAGGAGAGTGTGGGGAGGGAGGAGAGGGGCAAAGCACCCCGGGTAGCAGCTATATTGAGAGTTGAGGAGTTGGAACCGATCGGCTCTGTTCAAACCAGTCAGAGAAAGCAAGGCTCTGTTTGCCTGGCCAGGTGTGGGGTGGGGACCTACATGACCCTGAAGGGTCCCCAGGAGGCTCTGACCACCTCACATGCCCACACCAGTGTCTCCATTGGTTCTCCGATGCTGGGCACAGATGCACAGAGGGGCTAGAGATCTACTCTCATAGAAACAATGGGAACCCATGTAGGGCCAAGCGGCCATGAGTGGGACAGTAAGGCATCGTGGGACACAGAAGACAGGTTGGGGGCAGGGGGAGCTGCTGCCTGGCACTGCCAAGATGCTGGCTGGGGCAGGGGCAGGACAGGACAGGACAGGAGGGGTTGTGTCTGGGACAGCTGAGGGGATAGAGGTGGGGCAACCACAGGCACTGCAGCCTTGAGACAACTTTCAGGTATGAAAGGCTAGGTGCTTCTTGTTTGCTGTTGGGGGCTAGATAATATGCTGAGGGCTTTGCTGAGGGAATGACAGTGGGAAACAGAACCCCCAAGTCTGTAGAGCTGCCTTCCTGCGACTCCACAGGAAGCAAACTACTTTTAAAACCACTGTGACATGAAGCAGACCTGTGTTCTGATTCTGCCCGCCTTCTGCATGGTGGGACTGAGAGCAATTGTTTAGAGACTTTGGGAGGTATCTCCTCAGCTGGGACGTGGGTGGTTATAATACTCAAAACATAAGGTGGGCTCCGTGAGTCTAATGTGCGCATCATCTGCAGGTCACTTCCTGGGTCTCTCCCAGGAACACAAAGGGGCAAATTCCTGGGGCACCTGTGGGAGACTGGCACCTGGGGTGGGGCCAGGTGGGACCCTAGCTTCTCAGACTACAGCTATTCGTGCCACAAGCAAGTGGGCCTGGTGCTGACCCTGCGCTGGGAACACGGCGGCCTGTAAAACAGTGCCTACTCCTAGAAGCCCTGGTGGGCAAGAGCAAGCTCACAGCAGAGTGGCGGTTCCAAAACGCCGCAAGACGAAGGGCGGGGTGCTGTCAGGGACAAGCCAAGGCTGAGGGCAGGTGGGCACTGACCACTTGGGAAGGACATGCCAGCAGAAGAGCCACAAGTCCTAGGGCCTGACCAAGCACAGGCACCAATTCAGTAACCCCCATGTTGCCAGGGGAGGAGTGGGTAAAGGAGGAGGGGAAGGGGCGGGAAAAGACCCTGGCCCACCTCTCTGCCTGCCTGGCCAGGTGAAGTTCCTCAAGGGCACCAGCCACAGCCCATCTCAGAGCTCTGTGTGCACCCCACAGCTCCCTTTCACCTCCAGGACAGGCACAGACCCAGCCTGTAGGTTTGCCCAGATGTGTGGTACCCACACCAGGCTGCTGGGTGGGGTCCAGGAGGCCCTGCCCTTGTTCAACATGGCCTTGCTGTCTCCCTGCCCAGACTGCTCCTGCTGCCCCGGGGAATCACACACAGCCCTGCTGGCTCAACCACCGAGACTGGGCCGCAGGACCCTAGTTGGCCAGGGATCTCGCCGCTGTTGACCCCTGGAATCCCTACCCTGGTGTTCACACTGTGGAACACATACACACTGGACTTGTGGCCATGTGACCAACTATGATATTCTGAGTAGATAAGAGGTGCCCTGGGTCCTATGGGTGCCTAACCTACCCATCCCTTCCTCTCCCCCCTCCTTCCCTCTCCCCCTCCTTCCCCCACTTTCCTCCCTCCTTCCCTCCCTCCCTCTCTCATCAGTCTGGAGAACTCAGTTATCATCTTGAGAGGACATCCCTATAGTCCTAAGCTGTGTCCCAGGTGGCTAGGAGCCCTCTGACCAACAGTCAAAGCAGCTGTAGCTGGCCAGGAGACACAGGGGTGAACTTGAGCCAGAGTTCTGCAGCCTTGAGACTGCGCAGTCCTGGGTTCGAGCTGGATAGTCACAAGACCCTGAGCCAGAGCCACACGGGAATGGAGCAAATGCCTGACCCTCTGAAACTGGACCATAAATGCGTATTGTTCTGACTAACAAGTGCCAGGCCAGTTTTGCACAACAGTTTCCCCAACCTCAGTGCTCACCCTCTGAGCCTCCATTGCAGGAAACCATGTCTGAGCAGTGTTATGGGAGCCAGGGACTGGTCTCTCTTAAGACACCATCATGGACACAGAAAGCTGCCCTCTGGGTGGACAGTGGAGAAAGTTCTGCAGCTCCCTCGAGGCCTTTGTGCATCCCGGAAGCCCCAGCTTGCCCTTCAACCACAGGCAGTGTCTCTAGTGTCAGCCAGAATCATGCAGGCCACCGAAGGCTTTGACATTCAGTTTTAGAAAATGGCAGGGAGGACGGGCTCCCTATCAGATAATGGAATCTTGCAGCTTGGGCACTGATCTGACAGCTGCTAGCCGTGGCAGAGCCGGAGAAGCAGCAGCCAGATCCTGCCTGTATCTGAAACGTGGGGTCGAGCCACCGTCTCTCAAGGTCACCCACCTGCACCCACAGCCCAGCTCACCATGACGTGCCGTGCTTGCTAACTAGTATTTCTCCAGTTTGTCAGACTGAACTGTCAGTGTGTCCCAGAAACAGAGAAGGGGGTAACCAGGGCAGGTTGACTGCTGTCCTCCACCTGCGTCTTGTCCTTAGGCATAAATAGGAAGCCCTTGGTAAGGAACCCATCGGGCGGCAGTAAGTCCCGAACTCCAGCAGCCACCCCGTCACTCTCCACAGTCCTGAGCAGAGATCTCCAGCTAATGCTTCTGCGTTCAGCAAAGCACAAGGACATGGGGCAGCGACCACAGGAGATGCAGCCTGTGAACACACAACGAGGTGGGTGTGTCCCCGAGGAGCACCGGCATCACCCTGGGGGCTGGAGGAGGGTCAGCAGCACCATGTCTAGAGCTGCTACAGTGGGCAGAGCCCCAGCTGTGGAGCAGGCTGGAGACAAACAGACCCCTAAACTGCAAAAAAAAAAAAAAGTGCTTGCCAGGAAAAGTTTCTCTACATGTCTCCAACACCACCCTGGTCCTCAGCCAAGCACACAGGTGGGTCTCCACTGAGGAGGGTCAGCAGGTGGTGGGCCAGAGCCTGTGGCACGGGGGTAGCATATTTTTCTAGTATTAAGGACTGTTGCCAGCACCTGCTTTTGATGACCCACATAAGAGGGGAGGACTCTCAAAAGTTTCCCTCTGACCTCCGCATGCACACGCACACACAATAAATAATAAACAAATCCACCAGCCCAGGACCAAGTCCCTGCAGCTGTGCAGACAGCCTCTGACAGAGGGTCTAGAAGGCAGAGGTCAACTCTGAATCACCGCTCCCCAATCGTGGGCCTCATGGCCAGACCCTCTGAGAACCCTGGCTTAACAGAACCCCTCTGAGAGGTCTGGCCCCAGGGAGGCCAGAGCCCAATGTAGCAGTGAGAGTTTTAAGGAGGTGTCAGTGGATGGGGGCGGCCTTGGGTCCCCGCCACGTCAGAACATCTCTTTACCTTACCTTTGTGATGAAATCCAGCCATGTTCTCTGCCTTAACAACAGCCCAGGCTGGTAAAAACTAATTTCTGAGAACTTTGGAAAGCAAAAAGTTGGCGGTACAGCGGGGTCAGGAGAGTTGTCCAGAGATGCTACCGATCCTTCTAGAATCAGGAAACTGCCCAAGGCCCTGGGTGGCACCTCCCCCCTGCTCTGACCACCTGCATCCTCCTGGGAGTCTCCTGCACCAAGCCCCAGCCAGGCCCTCAGTTGGCCCACATAGCACAGCATCTATTGCAGGGTCCTGAAGCCGGAACTGTGAGACCAGCACCCAAGGAACCACTCACCACCACCCCCGCCCGGCTCTCTGCGGCTCCCTGAGTGGATAATGCCTTCATATCCCAGACCTCCTGGGAAGGGGACGTCAGAACAGTACAGTCTCCCAATTCTCGAATCTCTTTTCCTCCCTCTTTCCCTGGGCCAACCCAGGGCTCCAT